GTGGCACTCACACCAGAGCCCAAGTATTGAATTACATGAGAGGGAGGAGGAGGAGGACGCGTCTGTCGCATTTTGCCAGAGTGGATGTCTATTTTTTATGGCACCCCAGGGAAATGACGTACTATGAATGCCGGTTTAATACACAAAACTTTGACAATATTGTCGAGCAGTTAACACGGATACACATACAATGACACAGACCATATCATACCCCATACCAACATCAGGAGCAACAGACTTGTGGCCAGACAAATGTGCGAATAAAATTGCTATTTTTGTGCCGCTTTCGTCTATTGTTAGCCAAGTTATTCAATCTCTACTCGCACACCCACACACACTTGGCCAGGAACGAATGGCAAATAAATGGTTGGTATATCAACAAATCGATCATTTTTCCGCAGTTAGGCCCAAATCATTGAGTGGCTGGAAGTCCGGCCAAGGGCTCCACCACATTAAGATTTAAAGCAAACAAATGCGGTGTGTATCCTTTGTGGCATGCGTCACTCCGAAAATGGCACACGCAAATAAAGTTAAGGGGCGGAAAAGTGGGGCGGAGAGCCAACCAAATTCATCAAGTGGCAGCCCATTCCGGTTCGTAAGCCATTCGTTTAGGAGGCTTAGTTACTCCAGGCCGTATTGATTTCGGCCATATTTCTTGGCTCCCAAAAGTAGGCAACAGTTGAGAAACAATCTCCTCGCCCATTGATTAATTACCGAACTTTCCTCCGACATTGGCATTTGCATTAGCAGCTCTTAAACTGAAATCAAAACACTCTGACCGACTGCTCAGGAAACAATATTTGTTTATGCGTAATAAATTTGAATAATAGTGATATATTTATGATTTACCATAAAGAATTCTCATCTGATTCTACAATGTATCTTTCAGCTTTACATAAGTTTTTCTTAAATCTAAACCACATAAAGACTTTTTATACTTATATATCAATTGTTTTCAGTGTCTGAGAGATAAATCTAAGACTCTTTTATGGCCTCACTTTCGCCCCTTTGTGTTTTCCTCGAATAAAAGCAGAGTACACAAATAAAATCCTTCGCTTTGCCCTCCTCGAACGGTTTTATTTAAGTTTCGCGCTCATTGTTTTTATTTGCTTTTAATAGGCGGGCGAGGGGTGTGTTTGGTATCCTCCCTTCGGTGGCGACTTTAGTGGCTGCCTGTGTTTGCTTTAACATTGAAAAAGTTTTTTCCACTGCTTTCTTCGCAGGCAGCGGCTCATAAAGCAAACTGGAGACCCACTCTTACTTTTTACTTCACCTGGGGTTTTTCCACCTCCCAAGTGCGAATGGGAGAGACGGAGTGGGAAAAGTCCGCAAAAGTTTTCCCAGCAACAAAAGGTCACTGAACAATTGACAAAGTCGGCGTGCTGTTGTCTCGGGGTTTGCCAAACGCCATTTAAAAAGTTTTACATAATAGTTGGCCCAGGATCTTGGCAAGTACCCTTAAAGGTAGAGATTTCTCCAGCGCCGAAACGATATTATCATCAAAATAAGTTGGATTTACAAGTCTAAAAACGTTGAGATACCTGCTAATCACTGTTCTTTTACAAAATGTCTATCTAAACACCAAGTAAGTAACCTTTTGTAACCTCCTCTGTCAATTTTTAGCTTAATAAATCTTTAGATTTTCTTACAATGAGTCTCTTTAAGATCTTTATCTATCTTTAGATTTCCATTCGTTGAATAGAAGGAAACAATATACCCATTATTCTGTACGAATAAAACATACATATGCAGTGACGACAACCCAAAGGCTTCCTTAGGTGCTCAAATCCAATCAATGAACGTTCAATTAAAAGTTTGCACTGAAGAACACTTCATTCATTAGCCCTAACTCTCCCATAAATGTTCATGAACACGACTTTTTATCGGGGATCCAACCATCGGGTTCCTCAGGTGAGAGTAGGACCACGATGGTTGGATCTGTGTTTATTTTTTTCAGACCTGATGGTAATTCTGAGAGATGCAACAAAACAATGACAGCGGTCCTGTTTTCGGGGGCCACGGAATATACCCCCTTTCTTGACCATTTTTTTGGCAACTCCCCGGGCACTGGATACTGCGTCTGAACCTCGTCACCTCATCATTTTCAAAAAATCTACTCACTTGTTATAACTCATTCAAAATTTTCTTACACAGAACATTAAAACATATAAATAATAACAAAAATAAAAAAAATAATAAATACTAAGATTGCCGAATTTCAAATCTGTCTTGAGCGCACTATTCTACCCGCTCGCTAGAAACCAGGGCTACACCGCGGTTGCGGTGCAACGGAACTAGTTCCCCAGGCCGTTTGGTCTGTTTTGGTTTTTGTACATGTTTATTTTAATTTTGGCAGTCCATAACAAACATTCAATTAGTTTAAGTTTAAAGATTTACGAGCGGATACTTTTGATCTGTAACGCCAGGGAAACTTGGCTAATATTTTATATTGATGGAAATTATTATACAGTTTTACATATTTATATTTCGTTTTTTTTGGATACTTTTTTCGCTGTTTTTATACCATATTGGTATTGGGTAAGATATTTCAAAATTATATTCAAAAATAAAATACGTTCCAATTAGTGTGACCAGTTCATGTTCATTTTCGTTATATTTTAGTGTGTTTCCATAACACTTGGTTCTGCTACGGCCACACCGCACTTTCAGTTCGTGCAACTTTTTGTACGCAAATAAAAACAAACATTCAATTTGATCTTAGCAAATTGATTATTGCAAACGCAGTGCCGTTTCAATTGCAACAGAAATAGCGTTGAAAATGTTGGCGAGTGAGGCGAGAAGTCTAAATGCAGACCTACGAGGTGGACCTGCGCGAACACATGGTTTTGGATGCCCTGATCAAGATTAAGAACGAGATGGATCCTACTCTTACCTTACGTCGTACCTGCCGCTAGGGCACCAACACGCTAGCTTGCATCAGCAAGATCGACATCACTGAAGGTGTATCCTTAGCCCCACATGTACGAGGTGTGTTCAAAAAGTAAGGTGACTCTTCAAATTTCGCGAATTTCAAATTTTTCGATTATCGATTTTTTTGTTTTGTTATATTGGTACACTCTTCCCTAACATCTGTACCAAGTTTCAATGGAACATCCTCTTTTGTTTGGTTGTGAGAGGCGTAAAGTTACAAGTTGTTTTGCGAGCTCGGCGATTTTTTGCTATCGAAAAATATGGATCAAAGGATTTGGATTTTTTGGCCAAAAACAACACCACAATAATGCCTCAGCCACCATATTCACCGGATTTGGCCCCATGTGACTTTTTCTTGTTCCCAAAACTGAAGATAATCGAAAAATTTGAAAAATTTGAAATTTGAAAAGTCACCTTACTTTTTGAACACACCTCGTATAACTTCTAAAAGGTTTCGATAATCGAAAAATTTGAAATTCGCGAAATTTGAAGAGTCACCTTACTTTTTGAACACACCTCGTACATATGTGGTGCGTGATTTGGTTCCGGAAATAAACAACGTTTGGGACTGACCATACCCAACTTCAAGGCCGACACCACCAAGGGACCCATCAGCTTCCACGAATGGCAGGGCAATTCGTAAGTTCCATTTATACTAAGTTTATCATACGATTCTCATTCTATTCTCCCTCTGATCCCCAGGTAGGTGGTGCTCTTCTCTCATCCCGCACTCCGTTGACGCACTCAACTCTCACGTTGACTGGGTAAACGACATCAAGAGCTACTGCCTGGACATTCCCGGGGACTTCCCCTACCCGATCATCGCTGACCCCACTCGGGACCTGGCCGTCAGTCTGGGCATGCTCGACGAGAAGTAAAAGAAGGACCCTAAGGTGGGTAAGACCATCAGAGCTTTGTTTATTATCAGCCCGGATCACAAGGTCCGTCTTTCCATGTTTTACCCCATGTCCACTGGTCGCAATGTCGAGTAAGTACCTCCTTAGAGACTAGCTAGTGATAATTCCTTCTAATGATTCTGTTATCTTACAGTGAGATCTTGAGGACCATCAAGGTGGTGGCCACTCCTGCTAATTGGACTGTAAGTACTTCTACTTACTAAATGCTATTGAATCCCTTAATTGATTGATCTTTCATTATAGCTTGGCACCAAGGTAATGATCCTGCCCACTGTCACCGATGAAGAGGCCCACAAGCCATTCCCCAAGGGATTCGACAAGGTGTCCATGCGATCTGGAGTGAACTACGTGCGCACCACTGAAAACTATTATCTTAAAGTATATCTTTTTTCAACTCGTTTTATCTGCATTTACATATTTACATCATTATCATGCTTTAAAGTACTGCACTATGCTAAAAAATAAAAAATGTTTTTATGAGAGCTTTATGAATTTTATTCTGAAGGCAAGTCAACGCAATAATTGTTGAGTCTCAAAACAAGAGATTAAGATAAGGGCTTTCATGCCTCGTACAAAGTAAAGTAAATTAAAAAGTATATTACAAGTTTAATGCAAATTTTTATCTGCGTAAAAAATTTATTATCTTTACATGCCTACCCATTAACTAAATGACTGAAAAGTGCATTGCATAATAATAATTATTCAGTTACAAGTATTCAATGTGCCTACTAATATAAGAAATTGTATATATTAAAAAAAAAGGGTAAACATATAAATGTAAATGTAATATACGTTATAATTTAGTTTATAATGAGAAGTTATTTCCCCAATTAGAAAATTACAAAACATTACGAATTATTTTCCTCACAAATTAGCCCCAATTGGTTTTCGATTTTCTGACTATAATGATAATGATCTCTATTATTAGGTAGCATGTCTTTAGATTATTAAATTTTTTAGTTTATTAAATGCATTGTTATTATTAAAAAATGTGTTTAATAAGATTTTTATCTATATTATTAACATATAATTTGTTAAAAAAATGCGTTTTTTTCGTGTGCTTCATGCAATAAAGAAAATCTATCACATTTCCTGTCAGTCGCGGATGAGCTAAACTGCTGCTACTGCTTAATAAGGAATGAATTGTGGTCGTTGTTTTTGGGGAAATAATATTTATTATATAATGTTATATACTAATTTATGGCACAAACATAAATGGGGAATTAAAGTTCAAAATAGAAATAGTTTTAAGTGTCTAGTAGTTCTCAGTGGTGCGCACGTAGTTCACTCCAGATGGCATGGAGACCTTGTCGAATCCCTTGGGGAACAGTTTGTGGGCCTCCTCATCGGTGACAGTGGGTAGGATCATAACCTTGGTGCCAGGCTATAATGAATGATCAATCAATTAAGGGATTCAATAGGATTTAGTAAGCAGAAATACTTACAGTCCAGTTAGCAGGAGTGGCCACCACCTTCAAACGATCAGTCAGCTGCAGAGAGTCGATGGTCCTCAAGATCTCACTGAAAGATCATAAAATCATTAGTTGGGATTATCACTAGCCAATCTCTAAAGAGGTACTTACTCAACATTGCGACCAGTGGACATGGGGTAGAACATGGAGAGACGGACCTTGTGATCCGGGCTGATGATGAACAAAGCTCGGATGGTCTTGCCCACCTCAGGGTCCTTTTTCTGCTCCTCGTCGAGCATGCCCAGACTGACGGCCAGGTCCCGAGTGGGATCGGCGATGATTGGGTAGGGGAAGTCCCCGGGAATGTCCAGGCAGTAGCTCTTGATGTCGTTTACCCAGTCAACGTGAGAGTTGAGTGCGTCCACGGAGTGTGCCAGGCACTTGGTGTTCCTCTTGGCGAATTCCGGCTGGTGCACCGCAATCCTGCCCAGTTCGGTTGTGCAAACGGGAGTAAAGTCGGCGGGGTGAGAGAAGAGCACCACCCACCTGGGGATCAGAGGGAGAACAGAATGAGAATCGTATAATAAACTTAGTATAAATGGAACTTACGAATTGCCCTGCCATTCGTGGAAGCTGATGGGTCCCTTTGTGGTGTCGGCCTTGAAGTTAGGTATGGTCTGTCCCAAACGCATCTTGATATATAGTTAGTTTAATAGTTAGTTTAATAGTTGTATATAGTTAGTTTAACACTTTAATAAAACTGGTTAGTTGCTCAGCTGTTGGCTGTTTGTAGCTCGCTCACTTGTTGCTTAATGAATACTGACTGCTAGAGCTAGCTGCCTTTTATACCCAGCTGAATCGGTGCGATCTGCGGGAGCGATAAAGGCAGGGAACGGGCACTACCTTATCGGGAGTGTTCATATATACATATATATAGTATATTCTACGTGAATAGATTAATAAACAATTCTAACCAGTAGAGAGGAACATGTTGTTGATGTTGTGAAAGGGGGCCTCGTGCAAGGCCTCTAAATACATATATGTTTATGACTTGACTGGGGCCTCTGAAAAACTTGTTTGGAACTTTGTGACGAAATGCTTCTAGAAATATTTTACAGAAAAGTACAGTTTGGCTTTTTGTCCAAGTGAATTAAATAATCCTAATATTACGAATTCCTTTAGGACTTGACTCTCAAACAGCTGATCTCCTCCAGCTGATAGCTTTACCGGCTCCAAGCATAAACAGAGAGTCAGAGAGCATTTAATTGTTTGATGGTGTTGGTTGTCAGTGGGGAATCACCAACACAAGCGAAGGTATGAGAACACCGATTGTTGGAAAGTGAGACCGAGAGAGCGCCGAACAGTTAAGTGGTGTTTGTGAGTGCCTGTAAAAAACAAATACTAATAACGATCCTACGGCTCTCCCGTTCACGTATACAAATCGAGCCTCCAAGAGAGAAGAGCGAAAGAATTTGTTCGACTGTGTGGGTGAATCCATGAGAAATTCCCACACATTTGCAGATTTTCTCTCAGTGGGTCACACGAATTGATCGATTTGGTTCGAGAGGTCTGATAAGAAGATCGCTAACTCAAAAACGAAACAGCAGTTCACAAGAATGGATCTTAGCTTGGAATTAGATCTGAAACTTGGATTATTATTAGCAATGGATATGAATATGAGTGTGCAACGTGTTTGAAAGTCATTTAAAGGGGAGTTCTAGCATTGACTGTGGTTTTCAATGTCAGGTACAAGTGCAGTCGCAATTTTCTCTGAAAAATCTTGCTTAATTCAAGGCGGAAAAACATTTGGTTGTACTACACATTTTTGTGGAAATTTTCCATTTGTGGTTGGTTATCACTATCCAGGCTGTTGTTATTTACAAAGTGGTTATTTATGGACAATAGGGACGTAAGAATTGGTGCTGTGAAGAGGGGGAGGCCTCGAACAAGTAAGTTAGAATTGCCAAACAGAGAGTGAAAAGATAGCGGAACAACAGGTAGAAGTATAGAGCGAACCGGGATTAATCGGAGCATCTAGATTATCGATAGGGTCGATGCATTGCAATGCAATCGAATATTTTAAAACTATGGCGCTGTTATCATTATGTGGTCAAATAATTATTACGATTATGATCAAACGGCACAAGCCAACTTCCAAATATTATCAATAAATACTTTAAAGTTGCAAATGATTTAATTATTTTTGTAATGAACATTATAAAAAGCAAGTTTAACTGTAATCGGTTTCCTAAAAGTATGCAATGATTTACTATAGCTATAGTTTTTTTTTTTTTTTTTTTTACTTATATTTACATTTTTATTTCGCCGGAATCGTTCAGGCATTTGAACATAACCGGGCGTTTATCAGGAAATTAGTTATGGTACTATGGGTGTACCTAGAGTATATGTACAAATATTTACAAAACTAAAATAAAACTATTTACAAAATATTACAAGTTTAAGAAATTAAGCGGGATGGCAAGTCGCTGGGGTGGAATCTACTAAGTCTTCTAGTAGATTGCGGGTCGGCAAGCCTGCTAGCCAGAGGATTTGGGTGACCTATTAGCCTGTCCGAGTATCGGCTGCTGTGTTGGTTTAAGAGATCGCCCACGGGAACAAGCCGTAAGTCGTTCTGGATGGCCTGGTTGGTTACGTACCACGGAAGCCCGGAAGCCCGTCTAGCAGCTCGTGCCTGAACTACCCTCAGCCTGTTTAGCTGGTGCTTAGACGCGGTGCCCCAAACTTGTATCGCATACGTCCAGGTTGGCGTGAGAATTGCATTTATTATCAGAACCTTTGTCGAAAGCTGGAGACTTTTCGCGCTCAGGAGCCAATCGAGCTTCTTAAGCTTGCGGTCGCACTTAGCTCTGATTGCCGTGATGTGGGTGTTCCATATGAGCCGCTGGTCTAGGTGTACACCCAAGTAGCACTGCGATGTGGCGTTCCGGATGATGTCACCGTTAAAATTTAAGACGATGTCGATCGTAAGCCTTAGTGTAAATGTTACGCTTGCCGACTTGCTGCAGTTTATGGCTATATTCCATTGCTTGGTCCAGCGCTCCATCGCACGCAGCCAGTCCTGAACTGCAGCCGAAGCCGTCAGCTGAGATATGTGGGACGCAAGCAACGCCGTGTCGTCACCATATGTAGCCAAAAGCATACGGGCGTCTGTAGTGGGCGACGGAACTGGCATGTCACTTGTGTACATGGTGTAAAGAAATGGACCAAGCACACTTCCTTGCGGCACTCCTGCGTGGATGTGAGCCAAGCTGGATCTTGCGTCCCTTACTGCTACTACAAAGGTTCGATCGGCAAGAAAGGACCTCAGGATGACGAAGTAGGGAGCAGGGAGAAGTTCCTTGATTTTATACAGGAGGCCCTCATGCCACACCTTATCAAAGGCTTGTTTGACATCCAGGAAGACGCCTACAGTGTGCAGTTTGTGCTCGAGTCCATGGGTGATGTGATTGACCAGGCGATGGACTTGTTCTGGACAGCCATGAGATTTTCTAAAGCCAAACTGATGTTGGGGTATATGGCCTTCTACTTGAGGTAGTTCTAAAAGACGACTGAGTAAACACCGCTCGAACACTTTCGATAGTGTAGACAATAAACTGATTGGACGGTAGGAATCAATTTGAGTCGGAGGCTTGTTTGGCTTAGGGATCATGATGATCCTGGCTTGCTTCCACTGCCTCGGAAAATGACCCAGGCTCAGCATGGCGTTGAAAATTTTTACCACTGCAAGCACTCCTTTGGGTGGAAGAGCCTTTGCCGCTCGAATATAGCTATAGTAAGATGAATTTGGTTAGGGATAGCATTTTATTTTGTAAGGTTTCCCCATTTTCACATCCCCGACTGTCAACAGAGCTTTCACTTGTAAAAGCTTATGCTTAATGCCAGCTTGCGAACAGCTGATTTTGATAAGCACCGCCTTCGCCCACGCCGCATGTTTTCCTTTCGTTCTTTTGCCTTCGTTCTTCCGCTTTGCATTTGGCTTTGCTTTTGCTTTCGTTTTGGCGCTCCGGTTCAGTTCAAATTTAGCGATGCGCGCGTGCGGTTGCTCAGCGGTCGAAAGAATAACGGTTAACGGTCTTCGAAATTGGATTTTATTTATTTGTCTTATCGCCTCAGTGTTTTTTTTGGGTCTAGGGACTTGACGATTCGGCGTATTCTCACATTCCCAACACATAAGTGCACACCTTTTTCGTCGTGGGTCGGCCGGGAAAAACTTTTTCCGCGTAAACTTTCCCACTTGTTTACCCATGTGGTTCATACGTGCGTGTGTGTGTGCTTGCCAACTAATCCCAACATGTGAGCCTGTGAACAAATCATCTTCAACACTTTATATTCCCACACCTCAAGTGATCTGATCGTTGAATCCAAAAAAGAAAAGTTTCTTGTTGCTCTGACCAGTTGTAATGGTAAATGCACTAACGGCCGTGACGATTTTTCTTTTTCGAAAGGGGGGCGAGGAAAAGTTGCGAACCAACCAACTGTCCTCATAAAATATGCCAAGACATTTACATCGCCAGAACCCAACTGCTTTAAGCCCTCTGGCACCCGCTGGCCATCAAAGTGTTAAAGTGCTATAAAAAAGGTACGAAAAAATACTCCCTCGACGGCCATTGAATAATGCATTCAATTACGAATGTCACCAAAATATATAAAAAAAAACAAACAAAAAAAACAGGAATTTATACACACGTGTTGTTAACATTCATATATTGTCCTGTTTATTTTGCCTGATGTCTGCCTTTTGGACTGACAATTAAAATTTTAAGGGCTCTTTTATAATTCATGCTAAAAGTAATTAAAGGGTTGTTAAAAATGTAAGTAATGCTTATGGTTAGGCAGGCAATTAAGCGTAAGAGTAATGCATTAAAATGTAATTAGGAATTATTAAAAAAAAAGGGAAGGAAATTGAAACATTTTTAAAGTTGCATGCTACATGAAAGGCTTCTTTAATGTCGAAGTTTTAGCTTATAAAATATACAAATTTAAAAATATTTAAAGGTTTTCAGTGAGCAAATTCCTCTTTAAATTATTAACCACAAACATAGGACCCAGATCTACTTTTCATATGAAATATCAAGGAAAGTAAAGTTGGAAGATATTTTCAAAAAAAATCATGAATTCTATTTCACTATTCAGTTATTAGTATATCATTAAAAAATACGATTTTAGGGATATTAAAATCATAAAAGTAATCCTTTAGTTGCTTAGTAATATATCCTTATAAGTATTTCACCTGTAAACCTACTCCGCGAGTCCCTAAAACCAACAAATATAATTAACAGCTTATCCGAGATAATTTTAGGGGCACAAAAGGTGACACAAACAGCGGGGAAATCGCTTTTAAATTGAAAGTCAGCTCAGGGCAACCGAAAACCAAAAAAAAAAGAAAGAAAGAAAAACGTTAGACAGATCAGACCGTCATAAGCCTTAAATATTTATAAAACGATTAAGCAAACTTTTTTGTATTTTATTTCGGGGTTTTTGGAGAAGCACCATTTGCACCCTCTTTGGCTGTACTTGGTTTTTGTATTTTATTTCGTTCAACCAGCACTTCATGAAATGTTAATTTTAATTAAGCGATGCTGCGCAGCTGAGAAAAGAAGTTGGAAAATAAAAACCGGGATTAAGGCGATGGGGAAAATGAAGAAAACAAAAAAAATTACAAACTGGAAAGTATATATGTGAGTGACAATGATGATAAAATAAAAACAAAAAATAAGTAAAAGAAAAACAATAAGTCAGCAGCGGTTGATGATGAGCAGGTGTGTGCGGAAATGCGGATTTCCTTCGTCGGAGAAAAGCGGGTCAAGTTTTTGTTATAAAATATTCCAAGTGTCACAAAAAAAAATAAACCAACGAAAATAATAATAACGAGTGGATGTGAAAAAACGGGGGTGCGGACATACCGCTTGGATGCGGCTTGTTTAGCAGCTCCGGGGTCCTTTAGTTAATACTTGTGCAACAGCAGCAGCAACAACAACAGTTAAAAGTTACAACAACAATAAAAGAAGAACACCAACAACAACTACAAAGACAACTGGTGACGACTTCTTGCGGGACATTGTATAGGCCAAAGAATAATAAAGACTTAGAAAAACAAAGACGGCAAGAAAAGCCTTCCCACCCCGCGCAGTGTTGTTGATGAGAAAGCTGAAAGTACACCTTAGGAAAATATATTTAAAAGAAACTTATTAGGAATTTTCGAGATTTCTTTTTGATTTCTTAAAACTTACAGATCACAAACTAGCCGCTCTTTAACTCTAATTCTGATAGGTTTCCAATTACTAAATCCAATGTTCCTTTTTAACAAGATTTATAGAAATAAAGTAGCTTATTAGTATTAATGTAGTTTAATTTTTTTAAACATTTATTTAAACAAAAAGTATACACAAACTATTTTTGCAAGTGCATAAAAGGAAAGGTTGGGGCCAACTGAACGGGACACGCGAGACCGAAAGGCTTAGTAGCACAGGTCTGGGCAATTATTGTTGATGAATACACCCACACAGACCGATATAAAATAGGGCTTCAGCGAGAACCTCTAACCCCAAACCCCAACCCCTTCTAGCGCACGCAAAGTGTAGCTTTTCTTTTTTGGAAAATAATGGAAAACGTCCGCCAGCCCCTTCCTGTGTGCATGGAAAACAATAATTTGTTATCTGTCCGCTCAGAGATCCTCTCACTGGTTTTTTGGGGGCCTATAAGAGCAGTCTATAAATCACAAAAAACCAAAAAATATATATAGAAATATACTAGCATAGTATATATCCATCTATGCGTAGGCTAGCAAATCGTTTTGTGTGCCGGCAAAAAGATAATTAAGACATTATGGCATATCTTGGCATGGACATATAACAATGGGAAGGCCTCGCTTAATGTGGTGGCATTTCATAAATAATGATTAGAAATTAAATGGGTTTCGTTACGGCGCAGGAAGCAGCTCCATTTACCACCAGAAACAAATTGCGAAACTAACGAGCCAAATGGGAGGAAATCAATATTAGATTAGATTATTTTCTGCTGTTAGTTATTTAAAAACATGTGTGTTTAGTTTGTTAAAATGTTGTTTTAGCAGAGAATTCTATTAATTTAAACTAGTTTGAGGATTAAAATATAGCATTGATAGCTGCTAAAGGCTGAATCAAAGCTTAATGTGGTGGAAATTCTGATTTTCCTTTTCATATATAAAACGGTTATTAATTTTTTATAACTATTTGTTAATGAAAAGTCTATTAGCTTAGTATCTTAATTTTTTATGAAAAAATGTGAATATTTGTTAGATTATTTCATGCCATGCGTATCCACAATAAGTTCATTAAATATTTTTTTTATGCATATTTATTTTATTAATTTAAAAGTTGTTTTTATGTACACAAAGCCTTGAAAATCAAATCATTTATTGATTAATAGACACAGAACACAGCATAATTTCGTTATAATATTTGCTTAGTAGGAAAAAGAGTAGAATAAGGCCAAAACGAATCTCTCCTGAAGATGTCTAGTGTTCCATTAATTTACGCCTGTGCAGACTAAAACTTTAATGCCGACAGAAAACTATAAATCTAATTGGAAAATTAATTTGCCAGCAAGCCGGAGAGCGATGAGGAGGTGGGGCAACTGCACAACCAACGACAGATGCTGTATACAAATTTGTTAATTTCGCCAGAGCGCTAATTTGCTGTAACTAATTAAAAAACACTTTGAGTGAAATATTTGCCAGTCGCATAAATATGCCAAATTGTGAAGAGAGAAGAATACAGAGAACAGAGAAAGAGAGAGAGACCAAATCTAATTAATGTGCGAAACAAACGGGCGGGAAATTTATTTAGAGCTTTTCCGTAAAGCAAAGGACACCTGGCCCCTGATTGTCCGCCCCCCCCACTCCCCACGCACTTCATTTTCATCCTGGCGGCAATAATTGCGTACATTTTTCACAAACAGACAACAACAAGTGGGGCACTTCAAGTACCTTCAAGTGCCGCCAATCTGCGTCCTGTGTGTATGTGTGTATGTTTTGTCCGTCTGAGGCATGATTTGATTCGGCTTTCTGAAGCATTCAGCATCTCTCTATCTATATATATATATATAGACTATATACTACTATATAGTAGAGTTTAGCTATGGGCTAGCTTTGTACCTTTCTCACTCATGTGTCTAACTGTCTGTTTGCTTATCTGTTTGTTTGTTTGTTCGTCCTTGGCGCTTGTTTGCGCGTGTTGTTTGAATTGAATTTGTTGCCCTTTGACGTGAATTGGATTGCTGACAGCTGGGATTTATGGGCCAAGCTGGAAAGGTTTTCAAAATGGCAAATCAATGCGGTCAAATCGCAAATGTGCAATAGAAATTACTTGCTATTTTTAAGTAGTAATGAAGAAGGGTTTCTTTTCGATTATTTTGGATGGCTTGGTAATCAAATTGTTGTTGGTTTAAGGTGTTGGTACAAATTACTTTAAAAGGATAAGATACAGTGAAATAGTTTAGTGTGCCTAAAAGTATGCTTTGAAAAATATGAATTAATTTTCCTTTGAGCTTTTAGCCTCCCAATTTAAGCACTTTTATAGATTGCTTTAAACCTTTTAATATACCTCTGACACGAATATAAATAGATATAATATTCAAGTAAAGGCACTTGTATTGTACTTTCCTTTATTGATTTTCATGTATTTCCATTTTCTGTGCATATTTCCAGTGTCATGTCCAAACTGAGATCGATACACCTGCACGCACCTGTCGCGCGACTGTTGTAATGCTAATAAATTCTCGGGTGCCATTGGTTTAATTAAAGAACCGTCAGAGCCGGACTCGCGCGGAGGGTCCTCAACGAGCCTGAAGTGGTGGACCAAGGACGGTAGGGCAAAGGTAAAGGGGGCATTGTTCGACCAGAAGGACACTCGCCAATCTGTGGACGCGCCTACGTTCGCCGCGGCCCAATCGGGCCACTGGCGGCTATCTGCTGACGGGCACAAGTGCGCCGCGTGACGATGAGTTCGTCGCAGGACGACGGAATCTCCAGGATCAGGGCAAGGATAAGGAGCAGCAGCAGCAGCAGCAGCAGCTGGGACGGCGGGGTTACGCAGCTGCCGATGAGTGTTTAATTAATGTGACGGACTTTAGTGATATTCATTTAAGTGACGGTGCTGGCGAGGCAGTGACCAAGACCATCACCGAGTTGAGAGTGCCGACTATAACGACCACAAACATCAGTAACAGCCACAGCAATAGCAACACGAACAACACTAGCAACAGCAACAGCAACAGCAGCAACATCAACAGCAACAGCAGCAACATCAACGGCAACAACAACAACAACAACAACAACAGCAACATGTCGCGCCTTATACAACCAAGATATCGCTTTCGGGATCTACTATTGGGCGATTTCTCATTCAACGATGACGGCGAAAGGTAAGTGAATTTTTGTCCATTACTTTGACATTGCGCATACGCCCCATTGGCCATTGCAGGAGTTACTATGCCAGCCAAAAATAGATTCCTAATTACACTCACCAACTGCAATTGGCAAAATGATTTTCTCCATGCTTAACTGGCGATCGATTAATCGATTTTCCCTACTCGATTGGATGGGGATAACGTGGATGTCCTGTCTTGTGAATTATTTACGTGAAGGTTTAAGCTCATTGCACTAATCGAAGTTCAAGAAAAAAAGGACAAGCGGTTGACACTTAAACAGGGGACAGGGGAATACTTGAAAAGGTCGAATAATTAACAGGGGAATGCTAGGAATAAAGATTTTTAATTACTTTCAGGAGTATATATATGTCATAAAATGGTAAATTCAATTTTAAAAATTGAAAGAAAAACAGTTCTAGTTTCATGAATAACACAATCACTGGCAGCGCTGTCACTTTTTTAACCTGTGTAGTTCCCCCTTCATGCAATTGTTTTACCAAAAAAAAATCGAGTATCTCACATGAGAACCTGTCTAAAAAGGAGAACCCCTAAAACCAATCAATATCCGCAGCTCTTGCCATTCTGTTTGAGTGCCAATTCAGTGCCACGAAAATTACAAAAATCCGAAAGTGGATTCACCGCAAAAGGAGTGGTTGCGAATAATTTGATTTAGCTTTTGTTTGATTTAATCCGTTAAAACAAAAAGCGAAAAACCATATCGCTATTTTACATACTCAGTGCTTTAATGAAATGATTGCGCTAATTGTTATGGGTTTTTAAACATTTATTTTTGTCAAACTGCGTTCCCCCAAAAACTAAGTTAATTTAGTTTTATTTCAATGATTGACCAGAGCATAGCTACTATATTTTTTGTGGGTCTTTGCCTGATTCCATTCGGAATGAATGCAAAAGAAAAGGTGGGTGCTATATTGGAAACCTTTAAAAAGTGAAAATTAAACATTTTTTTCAAGGAACACAAAGCAAAGGCCGTGTATTTAGGCATTGAACTATCCTACAACAAAACATATGTGGAATATTTCGGAATAGCTCCTGAAGATACGCATTTGCTAATGATTAACTCAACGAAAGTGGTGAAAAGTGTGTTCTTGGAGAGTCGCATTAGCAATATGGAAACCAATAGGACCATATATAATGTGAAAAACATAGCAATTTGTAGTTTCCTCAACAATCGATTGATGTCCAAATTGTATTCGGCGATTTATGATCAGTTTGTGGGCAATTCCAGTATCTTCAAGTGTCCAATTCAGCCTGGTGTATATTACCTGAGAAACGATGTGAGGGAACTTGATGTGCCTATGTTTCATCCACCTGGCAAGTTCAGTTTGACTGTACGAATCAAGGAATTAAAGGACGGACCTGTAGTTTTGCAAATTTTCTGGAAATATCGAGTTTTGCGTATATAAGTTATTGGAATTTAAATATACCAACAAATAAATTTTCCATTTCGGAACTAATATCAAACACGTTCCCCATTAATTCAGCTTTTAAATGTCACAATTATTAAACCATTAATGGGCTGAAGATCAAACTATGGTGGAAAATGCTTTTTGTTTGCTTAGTCTAAAAATGGTTTTCCACTTTGATGGATGTTTGTGGGCCATCCTGTGGATGGTGGCATTGGTTTCTGCAGCCAATCAGGAGGTAGTTATATGATATAATAACCAAAAGTATTTAACTTACTTGCATAACCCACAGCAGCCACCGGTTTTCAGGCGTGGAGGTTCTAATTTCATCATGGAATCCCTAGTTACCACTTGTGATAACAATTTTGTGGATTATTTTCGTAAAGTTCCGAATACAGTGGATATCTACACCTTCCGAGTGGTTAAGCTGGCTTCCAGATTTACCATCGATATAGCTGTAAGAGTCCTGAAAACCAAGAGAGTGATGTACAGGGTGAATAACCTAGATGGCTGTGAATTCCTAATGAATCCTCTGATGAATCGAGTTTTTGGATCTGTTTACAAAAGGCTAATCGTGAATGGGACTTTCTTTAGCTGTCCGATTAAGCCGGGTGTGTATTATCTAAGGAACGAGGGATCTGTGGCCATGTTGCCTAGTTTTCATCCACCTGGAAGATATCAAATCACCATGAGAGTAAGGATGCATGAGAGTCGTGCTCCCTTTGTGATGGAGATGCTGTGGATTTATAATGTTGTTCGTATTAAGTAAAGTTTGTTAATTAGTGTCAATTTTCTATAAAGAAGATAAATATTCTTGGCTTGACTTCTAATATAAAAAGTGTCTGTTTCATTATGATCCTAAATTTTGACCTTTTTCTCTCCTTTAAATTATTCTAAAACTTCATAAACAGACATTTAACCTGAAATCTAAATCACTGTGTCATCATGTATTTTTCCGATTCCTTTATTAAGTAATCTTCCACATGAATGATTGGGTTTGTGGTCAATTAATAGCTCATCAGTCGAAAGGTGGTCGGGAAAATGAAAACATTTAGCCAGTACTGGCTAAATGGCTTACAGCAGTGGTCTGGTTATCTCTCTTTGCCTGTTTTGCATACTGTCTGCCCTAGCAAAACGAGAGGTATGCAATGTTTTTATATACTAGCTAAATTTAAATTACATTGCTAAAGAAATTCCCACAGCTAAATGTTGTTAGAAAAGGCAATACAGAGTTCATCCTTGATTCCATAGAGACAAGAAGTGATCATGAGTTTGTGGAGTACTTTGAAAAGGTGCCAGACTCCAAGGTTCTTTACACTTACCGAGTGGTTAAGTTGACTTCTGCCTTTACTATTAATATTGTGATTAAAGCGCTAAAATCCCTGAGAATCATGTACAAAGTGGAGAACCTTAAGGGCTGCGAGTTTCTTAACAATCCCTGGATATACAAATTGTTTGGCGAAGCCTACAAGAATCTGGTGGTAAATGGCAGTTACCTTAAGTGCCCCATCAAGCCGAAGATTTACTTTCTAAAAGCCATGGGTGTTATGTACATGATTCCAAGAGTCAATCTACCTGGAAGATTTCAGCTGACAATGCATTTGAAAACACCAGAAAGTAGAAAGCCCTTCGTTATGGAAATGGTTTTAAAGTATACCATTGTGCGTATAAAATGAAGAGTTATTTGTTTATATTTGAGTTATTTAATGACATAATAAGTTATTTTTAAAGTAAATGTTTGTAAATGATAAAACGTTTAGTCAATTAAAAGCTCATCGGTTGAGTTTTGGTTTTGGAAATGAAGTCATAAAGTCATTTGTGATTCCATGGCTTTCAGTGATGGTTCTCTTTTTTACCTCTGGCTGTTTATTATTTTGCCTGCAACAGCTAAAGAGAAGGTAATTGAAGTTTTAAGCTAACTAAACTATTTATTTTAAATAAAATTTATAATAAATTTTATCTCACAGCCTATGGTCTTCCATAAGGGCAACATAGAGTTTATCCTAGATTCCCTGGAAACAAATTGCGATCACGATTATGTGGAGTATTTTCATAAGGTGCCCAACTCAAAGTTGTTATACACTTTTCGAGTGGTTAAATTAGCACCTGCTTTCACCATTGATATCATAGTTAAAGTGCTGAAAACACAGAGAATATTTTATAAGATGGAAAACATTCAGGGCTGCGACTTCCTTAACAATCCTCTACTTTTCAAGGCCTTTGACAAAATCTACCAGCAGCTGGTGGTCAATGGCAGCTACTTCAAGTGTCCCATCAAGCCGAAAGTGTATTACCTTAAAAACGAGGGCACAGTGTCATTGTTTCCCGGCATTCATCCACCTGGACGCTTTCAGCTAACGACAAGGATTAAAATGGCAGAAAGTCGACAGCCATTTGTGATGGAAATGTTGTGGAAATATAGAATTGTTCGTATTAAATAAAGTGATTTGGGTTTAGTGGACTATTTAAACAGTGTCTTAAATGCCATTCAGTTTGCTAATTGAAATGACAAAGAGAGAAGTTCATATGATGTTTAAACTGTCAGGCAAACTCTTTCATAAATTTACTTACTTAATGCCTTTGCTTTACAGTCCAAAAAGTTAACGTTTAATTTCCTTAAATTTCAAGCCTGTAAAATGTATAAATGTTTTTGAGTAAATGCTATTAAGTAATTTTCCACCTGAATGATTGGGTTTGTGGTCAATTAATAGCTCATCAGTCGAATTGTGGTTGAAAAAATGTAACCATTTGGTCAGTTGTGGCTTCATGGCGTTCAGTGGCTGTTCTTTTTATACTTTCTGGCTGTTCTGCTTACTCTTTGCAGTGGCAAAAGAAGAGGTTTTTACCATTTCCATATTAAAAAGTAATTTTTAATTAAATATTTACTTTTTCCCCAGCCAGTTGTTTTTCGAAAGGGAAACATAAATATTATTTTTGAATCCCTGGCAACTGATTGCGATCACGAATATGTGGATTACTTTTATAAGGTTCCCAATTCGAGCTATCTTTATACCTTTCGGGTGGTAAAGCAAGTCTCTGTCTTTACGATTGATGTCATCATCAAAATGGTAAAATCGAAAACCATTTTCTATAAGGCAGAAAACATAAAGGGCTGTGATTTTCTCAACAATCCTTTGCTCTTCAAGTTATTCGGTGAAAGTTACAAGCATTTGGTGGTCAATGGAAGTTTCTTCAAGTGTCCCATACAGCCGAAGGTTTACTATTTGAAATATGAGGCTGCGAAGACAGTCGTTCCCCGTATTCATCCGCCTGGTCACTTTCAGGTTTCAATGAGGGTTAAAGTGGCAGAAAGTTCGCATCCTTATGTTATGGAAATGTTGTGGAAATATAAGATTCGTCATATCAAATAAAGAAATGCAAAATTTTTAATGTATTTAAATTGTTTATTTGCTTTTTGGAATTTCAGGTGTTAGTAAGTGAGGCATATCTCTGCGTTTTTAACTGCCAAAAGCATTAATTTCCTTTTAGTTTTTTGTTCAACTTTACTGTCTTAATTACTGTATCAGGTAATCTCTCATCAATGACTGTATTTAAGGTCAATTAATAGCCCATCATTTGATTTGCGAAAGAGAAAAATAAAACCATTTGGTCAGTTTTGGCTTAATGGCTTTCCGCGCTTGTTGTCTGTTTCCCTGTTGGCTGTTTTGCATACTTGCTGTAGCAGCTAAAGATGAGGTATAGAGGAGTAAATAACCTTAAAAACATAAACTAAGTACTTGAATTCACTTCACAGCCAATGATTTTCCATAAGGGCAACATTGAGTTCATCCTAGAGTCCCTGGAAACAAGCTGCGACCATGATTATGTGGAGTATTTCCGCAAGGTGCCCAACTCAAAGTTGCTCTATACTTTTCGAGTGGTTAAGTTGGCATCTGCTTTCACCATCGATATCAATGTGAAAGTGATTAAAACCCAGAGGGTTTTCTACAAGATGGAAAACATTAAGGGCTGTGAGTTTCTTAATAACCCACTGTTGTTCAAAATGTTTGGCGAGGTCTACAATCACCTGGTGGTCAATGGCAGCTACTTTAAGTGCCCCATTAAGCCGAAGGTTTACTATCTGAAGAATGAGGGTACGGTGTCTATAATTCCAAGTATTCATCCACCTGGACGCTTTCAGCTGTCGATGCGTGTGAAAATGGCGGAAAGTCGTCGGCCGTTCGTTATGGAAATGTTGTGGAAGTATAAAATTGTGCGCATCAAATAAAGACATTTGCATTTCGGGGTTGGTGTGCAAATTGCTAAAGTTGCTCATACGCCGTGTAGTTAGCAGTCATTACTTCATAAGTTCCGGCTATGACGGAAGTTGCTCCAACGACGTGTAGTTCGCACACGTTGCTCATACGCAACGTGGTTGGCACTCACTCCCAAAGGAGCCATAAGGTGCGAGATGTGTGTTTGTGTGTGTGTGTTTTTCCGCTTCGGCACTCACAAAATCATAATTCGCTGGCAATGCCTTCTTTGCATTTAATGTAGCGTAAACATTTTAATTTTTTATAAGCCCAACCAGCCATCGAGCCCAACTACCATTGCCAATTTTGCTTTTGGCTTGGGCTCTCTTCCCTGCTCAGCTGACTGCGACGTGCGCAAGTGGCCGTGGCTGTTGCCTTTATAATGCCACGTAGTGGGCCCAAAACCACTTGGCCCCTGGCTCAGGGCCCAGTCAGCCGGCGGGGGCTGCTGTTCACTGTGTCACGGATGCCTGCACGTCCTGGTTGGCCAGGATTCCCTACCTGAAATCGGTTATAAACGGTTTAGCAAGCTCCAGCGGTTGTTGGATTGTTCCCCAATGCTCCGGAGGTTATTATGTATATGCGATGGTGATCCTGTGAGCTCATCCCTAAGAGCTTTTGGCAAAAAGGTTTGCCATGTGTGTACTTTTATTTACTGGTTTTAGACACGTCTCGATGACGGATTCAATTTTAGATTTTTATTAACTTTTTGAGAACTCTTGTCCTTTACTCACTATATAGTTAGGGCATTCCATTGTTGTTAACTTCTTTTAGGCCATACTAAATTCTTAATGTCCCCTTAAAGAATTTCGTTTTAGGTCTTGGCTTAAAGGCTTTCTCGCACTGTGTACGAGGATACCTTTTCGGGGAAAACCCTTTTTTTTATGTGAAATATTTAATAAGTACGCGGAAATTAGGCTTTTGTTTTGTTGAACGTTGACGACAGCATTGCGAGATCATGATTTATGGGTCCTTAAATGCAACACTTTTATGGCCTAATCCCTCCTTCAAGCCAGGGTCCGGAGTACGGACCCAAGAATATTTAATTGCCCCGCCAAATGGCTGTGGAATTCGTGATTTTAATGGCCACACGTTCGAGGCGAGCAAGTTGGCAATTTGTTGGTTCTCGTTAACAGATGAAATTGTCCGCATTCTGGGGGACAAATATAACATTTCCGACCTGTCGCTAATAAAGGTCAAAGTTCAGGCCATTTGAGCTTATCCTCTACAATCCACCTTGGCTTCATTAGCAAACCAAAATTTCTTGGCTATAACTTGAACTTGAAATGTTTTGGAAAATCCTTACACAATTTTTCACTGCGTAACATGAGAGGAAAATGTTCAATTAAGCCAACTGCGGCTTTGTTTACCTTTTCTGCCAAAGCAAAAAAAAAAAAAAGGGTTTTCCGCCCAAAAGACTTTCTCATTATATCTAAGTGGGGAAATGCCCAAAACAAGACCAAGAAAAGCCCACAACAAGTTTAAGATAAAAAGTAGGGAAAAGGAAAATTAAGGGTAGAAGAATTTTCCTTTTTTTTTCCAGCTGCGTAATGGCAAATAACTTGTTTTTCGCACGTTTAACACAATTTTTCAGCAAGAAAGAAAGAACCTGTGCACCTGATAGTTGGGCCCCTGACTTGACTTAGCTTTTCCGCAACTAAAGTGCAGCTTTGGCCTTCATGAAAATACTTCAGCGTATCCATTAGTGCTGATTATGCTGCTTACCAAAAGGGGGTATATATACATTCTTACACTCTTGAATATATATCGTATATCACAATGGACGGCAGTACTCATAGTGACGAAGTGTGAGGTAATACAGGGTGGCCCATGTATTGTTTGCATTTTCAACTATCAATAATTTTGACTTTGCTATTTCGAATGTCATTGTCTATGTATCAGATATGTAGTAGATGGTTCGCGGTTTACGAAATGGTTAAGTTTATGATCGAAGAAAATTGTAATTTGAGTAGTGACGAAAGTTATTTTAAAAAAAAAACAAAAAATGTAACCACAAACTAGCTTTCTTTACACTTTTTTATTTACCTAATTGGATATGAAATCTTTTCAATGTTAAAGGTGCATTCGTCACTACTTTTCACATCCTTCAGTGTTAGTTTTTGTTTGATATATACCGGGATATATACCCAAGAAAAGTCTGCTGGCCTGTTTGTGAAATACAATTTCTGACATTTTCCATTTACATTCGTACATCTTTCGGACACATTCCTTACGTGAGCCGACCCACTTGTGTGGTTTACCATAATAACTTATGTAAATCGCTTCCTTCTCAGAGCGTTTTTCCATTTTCCACTAACATTCAACTGCAGTGCTGCCTGCAAATTATTATTATTCTACATGGTACTTAGTGATAAACAAGGGAATGTGGTTTTGGTTTCATTAGAGGAACTATTTTCCATGTTTAAAGTTTATCATTGCAAAGAACATTTTAGAATGCATGTTAATATTGCTATTTAGACCAATTTTAGCTGCATTCAAATGCTTTTTAATATTACCAAAAATGTGTTTTATTTTATCTTTCATATAAATACAGGATAAAGTCTAGTCCTAACACCTAGCACCCTACAATCTTCGTTCATATTTTGCGGCTCCCCCTTTATGACAAGTTGGACAGGTGCTGGTTTCCCTTCACATATCCTCCTCTGCATAACCCAAACCGACCCGACGTTAATCCTCGACTAGCTCCTGTTGGTGATGGCTGAGGAGAAGGTCGTTCAGAAGCCGGCTGGCTGCCTTAATCCATACGACTATAATTATAATAGCATTGTGTATAACGCACCCACAGGCTGTTGCCATTGCGCGCTCAATAATGGATATGTCTGGGACTGCAGGAACATGCCGCAGCCGAGGGTCCTTCGAGGTTCTCCTGACGTATTAATGTTTGCAAAATGATGTGCATTATGCATTAGGTTCTATATTTAGGCCCCTTGCTGTTCCGCTATTAAGACTAGGGGAGATTGTTTTCACCTGAAGGATAGTAAAGTGATTTAGTCCATTGAATAAATATTCAATTTTGCTTAGTGATTTCCGGCTGGAAAGTTTACAGCTTAGATAGCGGATTATCATTTAACATTTAAATAGTTTAAAGTTACAGGAAATTAAAGTGCTATCCCTTAGGCAATCTTTTAAGCTGTTCATTTTACTTTAAGTAGATTTTTCCGCCATAAAATTAGTTTTATAAATACAATTTTAGCTTACAAAGCGGCTATTCTGAATGCTACCGTTGCTATTCTCCAACTTTAGCAACGTCATTGACTATTTTTACACTTGGCAACAATAAAAAGCCGAGAAAACTAAGCGAAAGAAAGGCCGCATTTCAGGTGAGCTGAACCGGCATGAACCCTAACATTTTTGCAACGGGCCGAAGGGCAAAAGAGCAATATAAACAGCGTTTGTGTTCATCAATGAATGAACAGACTCGTAAATAAATAATTATGTGTTCCACAACTATGGCCCAGGATCGATGGAGGTCAGCCATGGCAACAAAAAAAAAACCAAAGTTGAACAATTGCGATGGACGCCAAAGTGCAGCCGTTTTATTACCACTTTTGTCCCGTGAAAGCAAAGACCTCCAGCGAATGTGTGAATGTTTGGATGGGTTTTGGAGGGGGCGCTGGGGGGGTATGGTGCTGATTCAAGGAGTTCTACCTACCCAAAGGAAAAGTTCCAAAATCAATCAACGTGCGAAAAAGGCAATTTGTGGCTACCAGTGAAAGGCAAAGCATCAGAAGCCACTGAACGGGGCTCTGCTTGAGTTTAAAGAGTTTGTTTTATGAAGGAAGAAGACTTAAATACTCTTAAAAAATATTTATAAAAATTATTTACAAAGGATATATGTTTTTTTAATAATTATTATAAATATATAAGATGTTTGATATTTTATTTAATTATTTTAAATATTTTTAAGAGCTTTTAAAGGAGAGGAATATTGATTTTAAGTTTTTTAATGATTTTAAAGTAGATAATGAGTTGGCATTCGAGTTTAGATAATTTATCATTATTAATTAATGTAAAAAATGTATTTATTTTTAAGGATTTTAAAATATATTCTAAAAAATATTTAATATTATTTTTAAGTCTTCCAAAAAACATTTTGTTATCTAAACTTACTAACTTATTTATTATCAAACTCAAAACCAAAACTTACTTTTTAAAGTGTTGCCAAAATCTCCATGGCCCTGACGTCATTGAGGGTATGGTCATGCCAGAAAATTCTATTATAAGTAAAGTTTCCTTGCTGCTTCCTGTGCGATGTATCAGTGTGTTTGTGTGTGTGTATAAAGGTGTTTGTGTCTGGCCCTTGACTGTGTGTGTGTGGGTGTTTTTTTTGTGTGTTGACAACTTTTTTTTTTTGTATACCGGCAAATGTGGCGTAAAACATGAGCACCGCTTGACTTTTTGGGATTTGTCCAGGACCTCATCCAGTTTTCCTTTCTTTTTTTTTTGGCCCGCTTTTCTTTTCCTGGGAAAATAAATATTTTAGCTCGCCTGTTGGTCAATGATGCATTTAATAGCGTTCGCTTGGCCAGATTCTGGCTTTTTTGGATTTCCACGCTGTTTACCTGTGACAACGAACAATAAAGAATTTTTCAATTTCCTGCCAAAATAAGTCATTGTGTGGGTGGAATATATATGTATATTCAATCTCAGGCAGGACCTCAGCTAATGTTTAAATTTAATTAGCAAAAAGTACATGCATGACTGCGACTGATGACAGACTGACGACAACTCACGACGTTTTCTTTTTTTTTGGCAATCACGTGGGCTAAAGTAAAACCCAGAATAAAAAACCAGGAATAAGTTATGCAGACCAGGAGAGATCCACAAAAGCGGATATCCTTTTGGGATGGAATCGTATTGAAACGGGGACCGAATCGAGTCTAGCCAAGTGGAAGTGAAGGATACTGCCGACCGGCTGACTGAATCCTACGGACTGATTGTCGGATTGAATCAG